TAAAGGTAACCTTTCCATCCCTTCCGGAGTTTCTGGAGAACAGTTTGTCAGAAAAATTTGAAACTTTCATGGCAGATAGACTTTGTAAGGTAGAGCAAAAGTTGTGCTAGACTCAAAGTTCCAAAATGCTGTCTTCTATGAGATATTGGGGTCAGAATCGGTCAAAGCGACCCCCACTGTTCGCTTTCGTTTTTTCGAGATACCCAAGTCGAAGCTAATCCATCGGATTCTGTCAGATCGTCTTCATACCGACAGAATTCTATCGGAAGTAATCCGGAATTCAGTGACCAGGATTCCGATAATCGAATTCAACTGGATACCAGCATATCCTGACCGGATCCTATCGGTTTTCGTCGGATTCCGATGAAATCTGGATTGGAATCCTGGTCATTGAATTTTTCGATCTGGGATACTACATTCGATCGAATTGAAAATTTTTTTAATAGGTATTGGGCAATATTTGGTATGGATACTTTTGTATTTCCTTATATTTGTCCTGCTTTCAATAAAAAATCTAAAATAGCGGATATATCGTCAAAAATGCTTCTTTTTTCACTAGGACACATTTTATTAAACTGAAAAACAGTCATCAGAGCGAAAGTTTTGAAGTAAAAGTAATACCCACCCCCAATAGTAACTTGCATATGTAAAGAAAAAAGTTTCAGCTCTATACCTCTTACCATGTGGGAGAAACTGTGACTAGAGGTCGACAAGCTCAGCTCAGTTCGGTTCAGAGGAACTGTTCGAACAGCTCTTTTGAGTTGAGCTGAACTGGTGGAACAGCTCGTTTGAGCTGTGAGCTGTGTTCCCAAAACAGAACACTTTTGTCCTGTTATGGGAATTATTTCCTAAAAACAGAACACTTTTGTTCTGTTTTGGGAACACAGCTCACAGCTCAAACGAACTGTTTCACCAGTTCAGCTCATCTCAAAAGAGCTGTTCGAACAGGTCCTCTGAACCGAACTGAGCTGAGCTTGTCGACCTCTAACTGTGACAAAACAGTACTTTCACTGTTAAAAACTTGTTTTTGAGAAAAACGTGGCACAACGGTAATTTCTGATTTTCTCGAAGCACTCATCTTTTTTTTTCTTTCCATTTACGGTTAAATAGGCTTTCGACAGCTGCGCATTCGATGAACTAGTTTTCTAAGTTCAGAAAGCAATTATTTTATGTCTATAGAATGTTCGTAATCAGACACATTGGACAATATACTTGTTGTTGACAATACTTCTTTTTTATCACTAATAGAAGGAAGAAAATAAATAAAATAGTCAACAAGAGAACTATAACTTGAGAGTGAATCATTCCGAAGATACTGCCTTATCAGCCAGCGATTTGGAATATCTTTGAATAAAAAAACTAACGCATACTGCAAAAAACTAAAGTCAAACTTGAAAATTTTTGATGTCGTCATATCGATTATATCTCGAATAGAAGTTGAACGATGTCTCACGCATCTCGACATGCGACTTTGGCATGATCAGACACCAAAAATGAGATAACTACAAGCAGATTAAACACAAAGATGAAATATTTAGAAAAAACGTAAAAATTGAGTTTTTTCAAGATAGGGCGATCTCAAAAATTGTTCTTTTTGAGGTCTAAGAGCTGTCGAAAGAAGTTTTTATTTGCAGATTGATAGAGGATACTTCAAAATATGTATATCAATCAAAAAAAATCTGAAAAAAAAATTTTTCATGTCCAAAAAAGGTTGGACCCTTAAAATAATAAAAAAACTATTCAGCTCAATTCACTCTTGTAGCTATCGTTTGCTGCATTAACATGATGTTAACGTCGATACTATTCATCAACTTAAAATGATAATAAAACCGTATCAACTCACCATCTTTGGAGACATGAATAATTTAGGGGAGATATAATCAACTTGAACGATGAACGTAGTTAGTTGTTTGAGACGACCATCAAGTAAGCATAGACAATCATAAAAAAAGAAACATTGAGGCGTAGTTCAGTGAGATTTGAATAGAAACTAATTTTTTGTTGTAGATCCCAAAGTGACAAAGGTGGATATTCGTTCACCGATGATGAAACAATTGTCAAATGCTTTAGATTTTTAAAGAAAACCATCGTATATAAATAAACATGTTTAGTATAAGTATTTAACGATGTTTCTATGTCATATTCATCATTATTATGTAGAATAAGATCTTTTATCTGATGTTTAAAAATATGTTGAAAGACTGAATCATCTAAACGAAACCAAAAAGAAATAAAGTAATGAAATGCTTTTGCGTTTTGATCTTGTGATGACGACGAACATGTTAAATGCTTATTCGTAAAATAACGTGAAACTGTCTCTTGTCTGGAATTGAAGAGTTCTAGAGAAGTTAAATTTGGATAATTACCAGCAAGAAGAATACGTTCCAAAGATGTGGTTTCGAGAATAAGTTTTTTTAACACAATGATGCTTTTGAGGTAATATTGCAGTACAAAATCGATCAAGTTTTGAATCAATAAATGATGTTTTCACAAAATTGAGAATATTAATAAATACGTCATCTTATACTAAAATATCAAGTCGTTCATTATTGATTCCAAATAGTGAATAGAGAACATCAATATTATCAAGTTTCTTCAAGATGATAATTAATATTTCATTGGGTAGATCAAGAAGATGAATATCTGACTGATTTATATTTGTCTATAACTGTCACTTTTCTAAAAACAAATATGTGTTATGGTCAAAATAACAATTCAGTCAAATTTTAAATTTGCCTAGTCCAAATTGGTCCGAGGAAATGAACCAAAAAAATGTGAACTAAAGTCCGCCATTGTCAATGCAAGTTTGCACGCATTACATTGATAGTGGCGACTTTTGATTCACTTTCTAGGATCGTCCAAATCGGAATTTTTATTTCGTTTAATATAATCTCAGTCAAAATTAAAATTTCAATTTTGATTAGACCAAATTGAAATTTTTCTTCAATAAATAGGAAAAAGTAAAGAAACACAGATGATTAAAGAATTAGCAAATTTTTATTTCAGAATATTTATTAACAAATTTTATGACTCCTAAACCAATTTAGTCCATGTTTCAGATTGTGAGCGTGAATCTCCTCCCCGGGTATCCTAGCTCACACTAGAGCCTGTTGGAGTGGACTTGGACCCGTTCCAGTCTGCGTCTGAAAATCCTTTCTTTACTGGGTCTAGTTCCGAGTCTGACTCGACAGTTGTTACTCTAAACGTAACATGGAATTCTATACAAAATTCTTGCGATGTCACTGTCATGATGTCTTGAGAAATGTTTATGGCATGCTATTTGTTCGCTTTAAAAAGTATCTCATGTCTTCGAAGCGATCATCAACATAGATTAAAGGGTTTTCATAAGAATATACTGCGTACGGATATTGAACAAAAAATTTCAATTTTGACTAAGCAAATTTCAACTAAATTTTCATTTTGACCAAAACATAGGCATATGTATGTTCGTTTTTTTTTTCTTCTAACCTTCTTCGGCAGCAATGAATAGAACGTATGGACCGCGAAAAAAACAAAATGCTATCGATCAATGTATTGTCGAATATGCTCGCCAACAGATGCTTTCCTCTTTTCCACATTTATTTTTCTTCCGGTCGCTCGACGATATTCATCCAAACAAAAATAGACGAAGTCATGCTAAGCAGAGAAAAGTGAACATGTCTATTAGAAAAAAAAAAAAAGTTGACTGAATCGTATTCATGTAATACTTTTTCCAGATAAAGAATAAATAGTTGTTTTGTGTACTTAATAGAAAGAAGCTAATGAGAATGATAAGTTCAAACAAGCTATGTAACTATTATATTTTTTGCTAAAAAGATCTCTCATCTCCCAAAGTAAAAAAACTAGATATTATTACACTGATTTTTACAAAATATTATCGATTACTACCAAGCATCTATATTCAAATATTAGTTTTGATAGAATGTATATATGGGAGTGGTCAGTTTGGTCGGATTCCCTAATTCTTTTTTTATCGTCCTGCTGCTATAGTGTATGAGAAAAATATGATTTTTTTTATCAATTATAGTACTCGTATAATGCTCATGATCGGCCAAGTATAAGGTGTCTATACTGTGTTTAAAACCAAAATAATCGACGTCGCCAAAAAATTTTTTGCTTGTTATGAACAAATGTTTTGAAGACTCATTATTTTGATTTCAAGCAAGGGATAGACCTCTTGGACTTCACCGATCATCAGCATTATACGAGTACTATAACTGATAAAAAAATCATATTTTTCTGATATACTATAAAAGCAGGACGATAAAAAAAAGAATTGAGATATCCGATCAGACTGGCCACCCCCATATGTATATTAATCATCTTTTTGAATAAAATGTCAAGGGAGATTTCGACAGAAACACGAAGACAAAAAAAAAACAGTGATACTACAAGTAAATCGAATTAGAATACAAGATAAAAATAAAAAAACACAGATAATAACACATGAGACTTTTATTTGCGTCAGTGAAATAAAATGAAAAACTGAATTTTAACAAAAAAAGCTCAGCGGTTAATATATCAAAAGATGTAATATACAATATTTACTCCATCTGTCGATTCTCTATCCTATTTGTTCAGTTCTCATGAAACTAGTAATAGTGATTCATGCACGTATTTTTTACAAAAAAAAAGAAAGAAATTCAAGCAATTTTGATATTCGTATTTGTTGTTATTTCCTCTTACCTGTATTACTACCAATTAGCTTTTAATACTTGGCTAGTTGTTTGCTTCCACTTGACGTCGCATGAGGCATTGCTATTGCTTATTTTCTCTGCAAAAATCATTATATTTATAGTTTCTAGATGGAATCGGAATGCATAACTGTAATCAGTTTTGTACTTGAACAAAAAAAAAAGAAATATCCCGGTGCAACAAGTGAATTAACCTTTAATGTTTAATACTAATTATTCGATATTGTTGATTTGTCTTTCACGTCGTTAAAATTTTTCGTTTTCACAAAAATATTCTAGTCCACATGTCTAATCATTGTATTTTAGATGTCTAATGAAAAAGTTTGTCAACGTCTCTATCTTGGTCTTGATTTAAGTACACAACAAATTAAATGTATCGTCATCGATGAACAATTACAAACGATTGCTGAAGAAGCAGTTAGTTTTAATGATCAGTTCTCACTTATTCATCATGTTCAACCAAATGGTTTTATTGTTGATAAAAATGATAATCGTTGTATAACAACACCAGTATTTGTATTTCTAGAAGCACTTGGTAAAAATAAAAAAACAAACAAACAAATAATCATTTTTCTAAGAATTCTATATAATTAATTTAGATGTATTATTCCAAAAGTTACGTAATCAAAAAAAGTTTGATTTTTCAAATATTGTTGGAATATCAGGTAGATTAATAAGCATTTTCTTTTTTGTTTTCCCATCATTTAAATTCAATATTTATTGATTTTATTTTATTTGAGGATGCGGACAACAACATGGTAGTGTTTATTGGAAAACTAAAACAGAATTAGAAAATTTAAAAAATTTTCATGTAACAATTGATAATAATACAGAAAAATCTAATGAAAAAGATTTATATCTTGTTAATCTTTTAAAATCATCATTTTCATGTATTAATTGTCCTATTTGGATGGATTCATCAACAACAGATGAATGTCAATTAATTGAAAAATCTATTGGAAGTGCACAAAATCTTTTTCAAATAACTGGATCAAAAGCATATGAACGATTTACTGGTAGTCAAATAATGAAAATAGCTAATAAGACATCGGAAATTTATGAACAAACAGAACGTATTCAATTAATAAGCAATTTTCTTGCTAGTATTTTACTTGGTGAATATGCTCCTATTGATTTATCTGATGGTTCAGGCATGAATTTACTTGATATTCGTCAATATAAATGGTCAAAAGAATGTTTAAATATATGTGGAAAAGATTTAGAAAAAAAACTTTCCGATAAACTTGTTCATCCAAGAACAGCACTTGGAACAATTGCAAAATATTTTGTTGAACGTTATGGTTTTAATAGTCAATGTCAAATTGTATCATTTACCGGAGATAATCCATCATCATTTTATGCATTAGCATCTGATGCAAAAACAGTTGTTATTAGTTTAGGTAAATATATTTAATTTTTTTGCGGCAGATATCCCATATATGGGAAAGGTGATATTCTTTATCTGATACAGGTATCGAGTTGTACTCGAAGAACAATTTAATACTAGAACCTAAGTAGTTCTACAGATTGCAACGAGTGACACACTGGAGGCAGTAGAAGTTTTGTAGTAAATATGCACTTCTAATAAAAAACACCTCCAACACCCTATGCCTAGTACCTGTTGAATCGGACCGCCGCGAAAGACTATCAATAGAGACTTCTGCGCAATGACAGCATGACACTTGTGCGTCAATAGTGAAAAGCTTCATTGACAGTCGAAGACGTTGATTTGATTGTAGCTATACGACTTGTGCTTCCCTCACAGGAAACAAAAAAACGAGTTACGCGAATGCATGAGAATTCAATATTGACTTACACAATGAAAAACTTCTAATAAAAATTATACTATAATTATTTTAAAAAAATTCGAATAAATTAGATAAATAAATATCTAGGTACAAGTGATACAGTTATGGCTTCAATTTCTGGATATGAAATGCCAAAACAAGCATTGGATGGTCATTTACTTGTTAATCCATTAACAGATGATCGAGAAAATAAACTTTTAATGCTTCTTCTTTGTTTTAAAAATGGATCACTTGTACGAGAACGTATGTAATCGAAAAAAAAAAAACTTTTTTTCTTTTAATAAGATAAATAAATATTTTTTCTTTAGGTGTACGTGAAGAAATTTCTGCAAAAGATTGGAATCAAATAAGTGAATTACTTTCTAAAACTTCGCCAACAAATCATGGTTATATTGGATTTTTCTATGATGATCATGAAATTTTACCACAAAATATTCAAGGAAGATTTTATTTTAATGCTGATGATCAACAAATTGATGATCTTGAAGGTGCATATAAAGCAAGAGCTGTACTTGAAGGACAATGTCTTGCAAAACGACTTTATTTACAAAGAGCTAATATAGATTTAACTAATAAGGTTGATCGAATTGTGATTACTGGTAAGAATATTTTAATGAAATATTGGAGAAAAAAAAAAGATTTATATTTTTCTAGGTGGTGCATCTGTTAATGTTGATCTAGTACAAATTTTAGCAGATATCTTTGGTAAACCAGTTTATGCTACATTCGCACCGAATTCTGGTGCTCTTGGTGGTGCTTTACGTGCTATTGATGTTATTAATCATAAACCGAATTCAACAACTTCGACTGTTGAATGTCTTATTGCTGCTCAACCTCGTCATGAATACACAGTGATATATGATGAAATGCTTGTTCGTTATGCTAAGCTAGAAGATAAAATAGTCAAAGGAACAAAATAACCATGTAATTTATAATCGAGTGATTGTTATTCTTTTTTTTTTTAATTTTATTTCTTAATTGATTGGTATTCATTTTAGTTTTTGATGTAGTAATTCTATACATTTATCTTCAAAGAAAAAAAGCTCATACATTTATATTTGATTGTTCTAGATGAAAATTTTCTTTTATTTTTAACTATATAATGGCCACACGACAGGAAGTAATACCGATTCCTAATTTGACTGGTTATGCATTTGGAGAAAAATTAGGCGCTGGATCATATGGTAAAAGAAAATTTTTAATAATATTTGATTTCAATTGAATTTATTTATACTTATAGGAACTGTATATAAAGCAAGACAGATAACGGTATGTCGATTTCGTTAGACATTGGCAAAAGTTCGACCGTTGTTTTGTTTGTGTGGCTTTGGGTGTCGCTCTACATGTTTGTTTTTCTTGCAACCATACACCTATCAGTAGTAGTAGGCGAGCAGATATTAACAGAAATTGATGATTCAGAAAAAATTAGTGGAAATAGAATTAGAAAAAGTAATTGAGAATGATGTATTTGTTGAATAAAAACGATGTATTTAAGTATGAAGAAAGAATTTTATGCATTTTTCTTTGTTTAGCTTTATATATTCACTTGCTGTTCATAGCAGAAATGTTGAGCCAATGAAAAATTTAAATAGAATTTTTCTAACAAAATAATTTTTCTGAGAAAACATGCGATATTTATTGAAAATTTTGTGTTTTACTCAAGAATAAGTTTATGAACGTCCATCGCAAAAATCGACCTAGTCCAACCGAGCCCATGTTTTTCTGTTCAAAAAATTTTAGTCCATGGTTAGGCTAGGCTGAATCGGTTTTCACTCAGCGCATTCAGAGCTTTGCACCAAATCATATAAGAGAAGCTATCAAACTCTCTAGTATACAATGTTAGATGTCATTGTGAAATAGTAGATGATAAAACTATGACAAGATCAGCTAAGACTGAATGAAGGTTTTCAAATGTATTGAATAAATAAATGATGAACAAGAAAAATAGGATGACAATTTATAATAGATGAAATTCGAGAGAATTTTAAAAGAAGAAATAAAGAAATCACAAACATGAATACATGTACATACAACAACAAGAAAGAGTGTATAAGATCCAAAATTTTTAAACCTAGACCTCAATTGTACTCATAATTTCAACGAAGAATTTTTAGTGTGACTGTTCAAGTGACTTTGAAGGTGCAAGATACTTTTTCTTGATTATTTGTATTATACCACTACAAATACACTGTACACATTTCACAGACAATCTCGACAATGATCTTATACTAATCAAGTCATAATTGGCTGTTACTTTTTGAGGCCATCATGGATGAATAACTACGTTGTTCGACACGCGAAAGACAGAGACATTCTTCATATTCCTCTTCTACTTTTCGAATATGACTCGATCAAGTCCGGGTCCGACCTGACGAGTTCTAGCTTTGATCAGTAATAATGAAAAATATATTAACAAAAAAGAGAATTATCTTTGTTCTTTAAAATCAAATAATGATAACACATTATTTTTGTTTTGTATTTATTACTTAAGACTTCTCAATCTCGACCAAGTTCAGCTGCATGTGCTCGTCCCAATTTCTTTGCTATTAAATGTATCAATCGTAAAAACCTTACAAAAACTACACAAGATTTACTTATCAACGAAATAAAATTACTTAAACATATTAAACATGAAAATATTGTTGAAATGTATGATTTTCAGGTAGATAAGAACAAATCGTTATATATTGTTTTTTTTTTGTCTCATATTTTATTTTATTATTTTTCAAAGTGGGATGAAAATTATATCTATATTGTAATGGAATATTGTGCTGGTGGTGATATGTCAATGTTTATACGTTCTAGACAACAATTATCTGAAGCTCGTGCACGACCATTTGTACAACAAACTGGTAAGAATATGTAAGTTTAATGAATAAATATTCATTTATTTGTTTTCTTTTTCTATATGTTTTATTTCTTCAAAGCTCGAGTATTAAAATTTCTTTATGAAAAAAGAATTAGTCATATGGATTTAAAACCTGAAAATATTCTTTTAACATCAATTGAAAAACCAATATTAAAAGTAGCTGGTATGAGTAAATTTTCATGTTATCTATTGATATGATCTATTTTTATAGATTTTGGTGTTGCACAACATATTGGAAAACGAGGTAGTCGAAGTATTCGTGGAACTTTATTATATATGGCTCCTGAAATACTTTCTTCACGTCCTTATGATAATCGTGTTGATCTTTGGTCAATGGGAGTTATACTTTATGGTAAATTTGAAATATTGAACATAGAAATCATCTAGTATTTTTTTTACTGTTTACATAGAATGTCTTTTTGGTCGGCCACCATTTGTTTTTTCATCGGTTGATGAACTTATTGAAGAAATTAAATCAAATATTCCAATTGAAGTAAAAGAATACATATATAGCTTTGAAACGATTTTTTTAAGAAAAGAAAACTTTTTCATTTTAAAATAGATTCCAAATGATGCTCGTATCTCATCCGAATGTCGTAATTTACTTGAAGGTCTATTACAACGTGATCCAAATAGACGAATAAGTTTTCAAGATTTTTTTCGACATTCATTTATTTTTATTGATTTATCTTCTCAAATACTTCGTGCAGTAAATATTCTTGTTTTTCTTTCGTTCTTTCTTATAATATATAGTTCTCAATTAAAATAGGATGATCTTTTTCAAAGATCAATTACTTATGAACAAAGAGATGATATTAAAAAAGCTCTTGACTATCGAGTAAGAGCATTAGATGAATATGTGGCTATTATTAAAGGTAAATAGAATTTTATAGAACTTATATACGTGTTGCGAAGGACGATAGTGAGTGTAGATTTCAAGTTGAGATTATGCAGAATCTTCGTCTTCATCACAAATGAAGCAAAAAGTCATTTAGAATGTTTCTGTAGCGGTCAAGAAGAACTAACACCAAATTATTTTCCCAAAAGTTTTTAGCAATGGAAAAAGGCGCTGAACAGCTTTCTTAAGTAATGCAGTTTCTGATTTTTGCACGGATAGGAAAATTATATTCAAGATGTCAACGATAATGGATAGTGAGGCATTGATTTGCCACAATCGTTATATCATCAATATAAAAAATTATAAACTGGCTAAGTTATAACTTTAAGAAATAACCAAAATTCATATTTCTGAGTTTATCGAGATATATAATTGTGCGTTGAGACTTGCTGTAGATATAATGAATATGTACAGCAGACATATTTGCCAGTTAAATAGACGATTGAATTTAGACAATACTATCGAATTTCCCTATTTGTCTAAATTCATAAGGAATTATGATAATAACATTTATAGGGTATGAGTGAAGATAAAAATAGAACACACACAGAAATAAATAAGACAGATTGTTTCTCTAATGATCGATCATCCTTCAAAAACAATTATAGTCTACGAGGAATTTTCAACTTTACACATTTTGTATTAATATAATAGAGCCAAAAAGCATATATGAGTTTCATATTTAAGCCTGTGGTTTTATTTTTGTTTAATAGTTGATGAAGATCATGATCGAAGACAAATGTTAAGAATAAAAGTAAAAGAAGGTCTAGCTGCTGCTGAAACACTTAAAAAACGAATATCACAAAAGAATCTCAATCTTGCATCGATATCAACGACAGTGTCATCTTCAACTGAAAATCGTAAGTTTAAATTTTTTTTTCTTTCTAAATCTGTATACAAACTTCAATGAACTATTTCTTTGCAGTCGATTTAACAAATAATAAAGAACTTTCTGAAGCTTATCAACATTGTCTCAATGGAAATCAATTAGTAAGTAGAAAAACTTCGTTTTTTAACGATAATAAGTTTTTTTTGTCTTAGATGAATATCGCCAGATTTAGTCAAGCTTGTGAAGAATATCAAATAGGTTTGACTGTAATGCTTCGTGCTGCTCGAAGTAAGTTAACATTCTTATTTTGTATATAAAATTTATTTTTGTTTTTTTTTTTATAAACAGCTGAAACAGATCCTGCAAAAAGTAAAATTCTTCATGATGTGGTAAATTAGACTTTATTTGATATGATTAATAAAGAAAAATTTCTTTTGATTTAGATTTCATTCTATCTAAATAAAGCTGAAATATGTAAAGATAAAAACGAAGCTCAACAATTAGATATTGATATGGAAAAGATCAAGAAAGATAATGCACTTGATAACACAATGTTGAATGAATCAAATTTTATAACAGAAAGACAACAACAAGCAAGTTCACAACAAAATTGTTGTCTACAGTGACCTATTTATTTTTTCTTTATTCGAGAATTTCTTTTTTTATTGTGTGAACATGAAAATAAAAAAATGTCAAAAATGATTTATAAGAGATAGTAAACAAAAATATCAGCTCTTTTGTGTCTATTCTATTTAGTATATTAAAATTAGACTTGTGACAACTCACAGTTCTGTGAACTGGTTCTTTTCCGAGAATCCGCTCCGGTGACTATTGTCGATTTGATGCATTCTATCGGTTTCCGGAAAAGTCTTTTTTTTTGTGAACTTTATTGAGAACAGGACATAATGGGCATAAATTGGTTTTCCAGGAAACTCCTTTCAAATCCCCGAAAAGAAACTACTACACGGTACACCTTCATTTCTATTTCTCAGAAATCGTTTTCTATTTACAGGAGTAGGAAATATAGTAAACAGTTACTTATTTATTATGATTGTCTTCTTCCAGTAACCATTCGTAAGTTGGATGAATATATCCGAATCGAACACTATTAAAACTCAAGCGTTATTTACGGATTATCTGCACTACTGACTCCATATTGACTACATCTCGATGTCTTATATCCCTATATATCCTATATCTCTATATCTCGTATACCTTCTACACATCCCCCGTCGATGTCAAAACGAGCGTCTGGAGAAACTCTCACAACGCATCATATGGCAGCAAAAAGAGGTATAAGCAGGTATAGAAGGTACATAGTTCCTATTAGTTAATGCTAAGGCTACTATTCAGCGGACGTACCTATTCATGATTCCAAAACCAATCTGTCCATACTACACATAGGTAAGACTACAAATTCGCTAAAGAAAAATTCCTTCACATATTTCCCGAAAAGCCACATACATTCAAAAATACAAAAATTCTTCTCCAAAACAAGACAGCATCCAACGAGTTGCAAAAAAAACAAAAACAAAAAGCCGAATACTGTTTTGCCACATTTCATATCTGATTTCACGACAGCTCTATCCGTTTTAACTTTTATAGATTCAACGATACAGGACTCTCCCATTCCGAAGCCACTAAGATACGCCGAACATCGGAAGAATCCAACGAAACCAGCCTCACCACAAGTAACTACTTTGATAATACAACCCGCAATACGATATGTACGTGAAAACATCTGTAACCAATGCCCGACAAGAGAACCGAATGCCCAACTGCCAACAAGCAATCACATCCCTTACGCCGCACTCAAAGCAAACACATATGCGCAGCTACCCTGTCTGATTGTTCTATAGTGCGTCCTCTTTCCCACACCCAGATCACCTACAATCTTCTGAGCTGCTTATCACCCACTCCAATCGCAACAGCCACAATACCTACGACCTAATGTGTGTCCTACAATCGCTAACCAAATAGCAACCATTCGTCTCGTGGCCCATCTCTTCACAGTTAGCTCTTAGTGGCCCGTATGATGCTTTATTTGAATTTACAGGGAATTCATTTGAACTTCCGGACACCCCTTTTGTTCCCTATTAATCAAGATATAGGAGATATAGGAAGGTATAAGAAGGTATAGGAGATATAAGGAGGTATAGGAGGTATAAGGAGGGTGTGGGTGTGGGTGTGTGTATGAATTGAGATAAGATTAATACCCACACCCACACCCTTCCCCCTTGGGTCATATACTAGTATTTTTCTCTTTAGTTTATTTAAATGGAAACTATCAACAGTAAATATTTGTTTTTTATATCAATGAGTTATTATTAATATGAGCAGAACAAAAGAATACTCACTTCTAGCTAATCGTGCATATTGAATACAGATCTACAGTGTTCAGTTTCAACAGTTATCACAACTATTTTAATAGTTTTCTTTTGAAATTCTTCTCATCTAAAATTCTCATTGAACTACATAGTTTCACTTAAAAATAGAAATCAATAGAAGAATACAAATAATTTTCTTATCGAAATATATTTTACTTAATACAATATCCGATTGTAAACAATTTGTATTTCTTACTCTTTTATAATAGAAGGATTTTTATATATTTTATTTTTATCAAAGGCATCTACATAAAACTGACTTTTCAACGAAGGAAAATATTGATAAACGTCTTTTGAAAAATCTCTTGAATCGTTGATAATTAATCGGTTCACTTTTGCACAATTACGTCGAGTTACATCTCTTGTAAAGTTCATTGTTACAGTTTCCAATTGATTATAATTGAGTTTTAATTCAGTTAAACGAGGTATATGTGTCTTTGTTTCGAGTAGAAATTGAATAACATAATCGATATGGACATTTAATAGATCAAGTGATATAAGATGAGAATATTCAATAATTGAATAAGATGCATTCTTATCAGATTTCAATTCATCATGATGTATTTCCTGCTTATGTCTATTCTCCAAAGTAAAACATTTAAGCATCGGGAAATCTCGACTTTTTCGCATGAAGAATTCATGTTCCATTGGAATCACATCAGATGCAGACAAGTAAGTTACAGTACAAAATCCGATAGTTGGAAATTGACTCGTGATATCTTCCAGACGAGTAAATGTAAATGGAAGTGAGTATATATGAAATGTAGCTTTAAACCAATCGAAGTAATCTATGATACAAATTGTTTGTCCATATTTTATATTTGTATATGCTTGTTGAATATCATCAATAGATTGAAGAGGATCTAAATGTTGAATGTAATTGTTTGTACTCATATAGAAGGTAAATGTATGAAGTTGTGGCATATTAGCAAGAATTTCATTATAAAGATGTTTGCCATCGACGACAAATTGATATCGCTTACGTAAACGAAGATACAAAGCTAACTTTTCAAGATGTTTCATACGACGAAGAAGCGGTATGACCAACGTGTCATAATGAAAAGTGATACGATAACTTGTTAATGAGAAACAATTCAAATTATGTAGATCATCCTAGGAAATAAAAGAAAATTATCTTTCGAATACATATTCATGAGTTCAGTTGAGATAAAAAGTTTCTGTAAGAAACTGATCTTGAATCGTCTAATTCTTTATAAATTTTGTTTCTCAATATTTTTTGTATTCAATTAGATATACAATATGCTAAAATCATGTTAAAAGTACATTGTTCACAATTAAAAAGTGTTCGTATATTAAAAAATAATAATTTAGATATTAAACAATCAACTTATGAATTTCACAAGATTTGAAAAGACTTGCAAGCCTTAAATTTAATTAAGATTCGGAATTCATATGAAATATTCTTCATATCGTTAAATAGAATACTTCTCATTTCTACAATACAATTATCATTATAAGAGACATTCAAGTTGAGACAAAAGTTTCTTCTTGAAAATATTTTTATCGATATCACCTAAATCAGAATAATTTTATTTTTTGATAATGTTATTTTCCATCGTATATGTATTTCAAAGTATTTTTCAATCTAGCAAATTCTATGTAATATCCTTTATTCTCTCTTCTAATCAGCATCATATCAAAGTTGTTGTCAGTGAATGAGATACGACTGTATAAAATTGATAAATTTTACCGTTTTTTCTTTTGATAATTTACGAAGAATTCCTTTCGTTTTGTACACAATACAATATTTATTATTACTGTAGTAGTTTGTGTAATTTTTCGAATACATGTCAATCATTCGATTTATTCGTAGAATATTTCAAAAAAAAAAACAGGGTGTGGGTGTGAGTGTGAATAAATAATATATCCATACCCACACCCATACCCAAACTACTGGAAAATCTTTTCTATTATTTGCTACAATAACCAAGAAACTTATGTTTTACACGTGTTTGCTTTGATTATAGTGTATAATTAATAATTCATTTTTAAAGAA